TCTCATACTTCTTATGTACATATTAACAACTATTCTAAGCCGTTAGTTTAAATCGTAGGTCAAGTAAGATGAAGTTGAAAATAAATAAATCACATGTAAAGTAGAACCGAAAGCGCGCAGACCAATTATTCGTGAAACGGAAAGTTAGGAAAGGCGTTGTTTTTGCTCCTTGTGCACTCCCCCAATAGAGAAGTTATACCATAGAGTACATATGTACGTACAAACATAGTGAAACCGTGTTCGCAATAAACTGGTACATCCTTAAAAAGTCTTAAGGATTTTCAAATTTAATTATTATGTTTTTCATATACTTAGTATAAACTGTTATAAAGAATAAAAAAAGGTTCATGCATTGTGAAAAATTCTCTGTGCTTTAGTTGTAATGAGTTGTTTTGTTTTCTTGGCGGACGTTGTAATGATCTCATGATCTCATATTTTTATGTTTTTGTTTTTGTCTGACAAAAGCAAATTGCACTACATCCTCTCGCATGTCGAAATGAAAGGGAAGGGTGCGAGAGGCCCTCCTTATAGTGTCCCGGTTTGGTAACAGAGATATCTGGCAGCCCTAGTATCTAGGTAAAGAATCGATTTTTTACTCCAGTATTCGTTAAAGGCATCGATATCAAAAATACTCGATAAGAAATAAAAAGTATCGATAGTATCGTACCTGCCGACGATCTCTTTCCTCATTTACACACGGCGATTTTTGTTGCCGTAACTCGACGTTTGTAGGAGAGAGCGTGACGAGGAAAGGAGAGGGGCACCGAATTGCTCGTGCTCGGGCAACACACTTTGTGCTATCGTTCGTCTGTGTAAATTGAGTTAGCGGTTCACAGCTGACAACAACAATTGCATACACAAAAATCGTCGTGTAAATGATGATGATACACGGAAACTTTTGTCGACGCGATTTTTCACATTCCCTTTTGGTGTTGCTCATTTCATTTACACACGGCGATTTTTGTTGCCGTAACTCGACGTTTGTTGGAGAGAGCGCGACGAGGAAAGGAGAGGGGCACCGAGTTGCTCGTGCTCGGGCAACACGCTTTGTGCTCTCGTTCTTCTCAATATCGTTAAGTTGGCTGGAAATTAGTTTGACGTTTCTCTTCATTTCTTTTCTTCATTGATTTCATCTTCAATCAATATAAAGCGTGGAATTTAACCATTACAAAAGTTAAATGAAAATATTTTTATGCTATCTTTTACGTAAATTAACATATGCATATACATATGTATATCACTAATATTTCAGTAAAGATGGAATACCACCAAAAAGTCGATTTACTGAAAAATGTTTTTGAGTGCGTTGCGGAAGCCGTAGAAATGGATTCGGAAGATAGCGATAAGGCTGACGCCCTAACAGGTTCTATATAGGATTTTAGTCATTAAATTAATTACTAAATGGTAAGTTCTTTTGCAGGACTAGTTGGTATGTGCCAAAAAATAATATCTACGCCAGTACCAAAGAAACGAAAGGCGATGTGGGTAAAGGTATGGAGGGAAAAAAAAGCTG